GCCATAGCAGGATTCGCTCGCTTGAAAAGCCGTGTCATGTCCTCGACGTACATCGAGACGGTCTCGTTGGGCATCTGGATGCGTGGTTGTAGTGCACGCTCCGCCCATTCGCGGCGGTCGGGACTCCTGTAGGTCTCCAGAAGGCGTCGCTAGAACTCGCAAGATGTCAAAACATTATCCCTGTTCAAAAACCACGTCTTGGCACCGTCCTTTAGGCAAGCAAGTGTACACGTTCCGGAGCTTTGCGGCGTCATCCCAGTAATTGATCGCTGCGACACGTTCGAACTCACTCAGCCAGTCGTCAACATCTTCATGCTGCTCTCCATGAAAGGGGCTAGGCATGAGCGGGTTCTGGACGGTGCAGTAGATCGGCGTGGAAGGTGTCGGAGCTTGCACGAGATCTTGTGTCGAAGTCATAGTCGCTGCGTCAGTGGTTGGTGTCTCAGGTGGTAGGCCTCGTTGGCGGCGGCTTACTCTGTGAACAGGAGTGTACACGGGTGCAGGGCTTGTATTCCGGCTGCTGGGCGGAGTCTTGGGCATCGGGTGGATCGTGAGACGTTGTACCCAGCAACTCCACCAGTCTTGTCTCGTTTCTCATGACAAACTTGATACAATAGGCTCGTAGAGTTGACTAGCCAAGCAGCAGCTCAGATAAATCGTCTTTGTCCTCTCTCACTCATCGATCTCACCCAAGCAAACCACGTGGCAATACAATCCTTTGATGAACTATAATGGCTACACCTCCAGATGATGCCATTGTATCATCTCAGTCCTTTCGGAAAATAATGTAGCTACGAAGAAAGTTGGTGTGTTTGGATTTTAAGTGTGTTTCTTGTACACACAGCACTTTTGGCAAGTGTTTGTACAAGATTTCTTGGACATCGTCAAGGTTCCTAAGAAGGCCCCTGAGGTTCAATTGTATAATTTGTGCATTCATCCTGTAAGTAAAGTAGCGCTGTGTGTACAAGAAATGAGGTTCTGTTGTTTAGAGGGAGATCCGAGTTTAGACAACAGAGCCGTCATTGGGCCCTGTTGTCGGCTTTTTTTGTCTTGCCTTGCGCGGTCTAAGGAGCCAGGCCGATCTTTCGGTACCAGGGGTACTGTGGTGTCCATTGCCTCCTGAAAGGCACTGGATTCCCGCACGTGCGGGCCGATGGTCCGGGTTTCGGACCTCGCCTGGCAAGACGAGGCCTTGATACCCGACGACCCTGAGGGTCGCTGGTACCTCTTCGCGAGCTGGCGGAACAGACTTGGCTGCTACCACCAACGGGGCACGTGCCACAGCTGACAGCTCACTTTGCGCTAGGGGGGAATGGCAGGGGCTGGTGCGACCTTGTCCCCCAGCATGCCGCATAAGCGATAGGTGTTGTGTAGAATGGTGCACATCTGTTATGGGCTTCCTTAAATGAGATGTTTTCTTATACTTTAAGTGCGATAACCTCTTTCTCTCTTCCAGTTTGGGCAGGAATGAGAGTAGGCTGCATGATCACCGTCACAGTTGACACAGTGGGGTGTGTTAGTACACTTATCAGAGGCGTGTCTTTGGTCTCCACATATTGCGCAAGTGTTCTGACCTCGGCAGCTCTGCGAGCTGTGGCCAAATCTTCGACATCTGTAGCAACGTCTAGGGTTCGGAATATATGGGCAGACAGGGAGTTTGATGTAACCTGTCTCAATGTTTGTAGGTAGTATACTATATGCAAATGTTAAAATAAGGTGCTTGGTAGGTGTTTCCATGCCGTCGGGTCTGATGATGATTCGTTTAACTCCAGCCTACATTCTGCTCTTTCCAACTTTCCAGCAGTTCCTGTTCGGACAGCCCGAGGAGGTCTGCTTCTGATACAACTCCACGTGAGGTATTCATCGAGCGGTGAGGCGAAGCGGATATTGAGATGCTGCCGAATGCTGTTAGATTGCAAAGTTTCTCAAATTATTGTCGTTCAGTTAGTTCCAGCAGGAGGTCACCACTTGGCATCCTAGTTACCTTGTAACCTGGTCCAAAGACTTGGGTCAGCAATCTTGAGACAAGAAATGGAGAAATTTATCTTGCTTGCTTGTTCGTAGTTTCACAGTGAATTACACAAAATTTTGGGAAGGATAGGCTGAGGCCAGGTTGAAACATACTAGTTCTTCGGTGCGCACCATTTTTCGAAGGAGACCATGAAGTAGTCAGGGAAATGAAGGTGTTCCCATAAAAGTTTGGTTGTTTCGGCAGCAATGGCGGCCACCCACCATGGAGCCCAACTAGGGGACGCTGCAGCGCTTGTATAAAACTGCAGACGCCAGCCGTACATTCCCACTATAACCAAATATAACTGCCCAAGGTTGAGCAACTACACAAGGTTAACCCTCACCACCAAGAAATTCGGAAGTAAATAGAAGAGAGAAGATGACAGGACAGATATAAAGTAGGAGATAAAGACAAAGATCTAGGGAGAGAAAGAGATAGGAAAAGGCGACTGCCGATTTCTCCTGGGTGGATCAGCCCAGGGGTGCCGTCTACGTGAAACTGGGGCCGAAGAGGTGTGTTGCCTCTACCAGGGGGCCTTAAAAAGTCCAATCACCCGGCGTCGGCTCAACCCCCAAGATCCCCTTTTCCCGGACACGGCAAAGCCATGCAGAGCTAGGCGTGGGAGGTAGTCGAAACCTCCTGTTAGCTCGGGTCCGTGGTGTCGCTACACACCAAACGCCTGCTTACGCAGACCCCCCTGCGGGAAACGATGGCAAGTCATGCAAATCAAGTGCATGTGACAACGTTGCCAGATCTCTCAGCTTCACTGCCTACCTTCAACGGCAATGGCACCCGGACTTCAAAGTACAGGATAGAAGAGCTCGAGCGCGTTCAACGGTTTGCACGATGGGACGACATGACTCTCCTTGCCATTTCGCAAGAGAAGCTTCATGGAGTCGCAGCACTGGCATGTCTCAACAAGGCTTGTGTTTACCACCTGGACCATATAAAAAGTCGGGCTCTAAGAACAATTCGGCGAGCAACTTTCGATGATACAGCAGCAAGAGAAGGTCACAGTCCTTACTCAAAAAACTGGAGAGAGCCTGCAGGAGTATGCTTTTGCAAAACTCAAGACCGTGTCTCGCTGTATAGTTCCCATTACTGACAAGGGGTGCATTGAATGCTTAGTTCAAGGCATTCGCGATGACCAGATAGCCACATCTATCGCTGTTGAATGTCCCCGTACAGTGGACGATTTTCTCAACATTGTGACAGAAATAGATAAAACACTCGACCACATGCACCTGATTAGATCTGTGCATTCGACAGAGTGATTCGCAAGACAGTCAAGACGGCCCCAGTTTCAGAGTGCTACTACTAGAACCGACAGTACTGTGAACAACCCACAGCATTCTCCACCTTCTACGTTCCAGTACACCACACGTATGACGCAGCCTCCTCGTATAGCCAGCCTACCACCTGATGACCAAGAGTCAAGGTATGAAGCAATTTCAGCCAAGTATGGTGCCATGGCATACAGAGGAGGACAAGACTTGAGGGACGCTATTCACTCATTCGGCATTGCAAATGCACTGCAAACCAGGATGTATATCACCTGTTATATGCCGGCACCGCGTCGCTAGTGCCGCCGAAGTAAATTCCAACAGAGTCATTTGCTTTTTCTGCGAAATGGGTGCCGCCAACAAAAGCTCCATCCTTGGTGATTTTTTTTTACACCATTATTCCGATCAACAACATGGTTTTAGATGAACGAGCAGCTCTTCTCTTTCTCTCTCTAATTTTTCCGTTTTTTCCGGGGGGGGGGGGGGGGGGGCATTGAGGGGGGGGGGCAGGGCTTACTGAACACTATACGTTGCTTTGCCAGAGTGTCAATAGAATTTTCCAGCTTAACATTTTTTGAAAAGCGGACAGCAGGTTGGGATCGCCGCCCGAATCAAGGAGAAAGCGGTGTCCCCTGTTATGCAAACGAGTCCCCGGAGGGCTGCCAACCTGCTGATGGCTGTCTAAATGTGTGTATTGTTTTCTCAACACGGCAAGTGAGGTGCCATACAGCCAGACGCGGCAAGGTGTTCGATGAAAACTACAGCATTGGTTCCTGGCCACATCACCTTTGATGACAAAAAAGGAATCTACAGGCTGCCCAATGCATTTACCAGATGAGCCAAAGGTGAAAGCCATTTTTTTTTCTTTTCAATCGATGGCATCACCCTATGAAAGTCCCCTTTACCTAACACTGCCTCGAAGATTGGAGGCACTGTCCTGGTTTTGCACTGCCTCTGTGGTCTGAACACCTTTGACTCAGCTACGATGATCTGCGACATTAGAGGATGCCACATGGCGACATCACGTGCTGATTTTTCACATCCCTTGTCCCTGATGCTGTTGGACTCCTCACGCGGAATGCCGACTGTGAAATTTTGCATTTAATTAGGGATTGAAAGATCTTGCCTTAAATAGGCCCTGCAACACTCTTTTGAGCATGGTCAGAAAATGATGCTGAACAGTAGTCGAGGTTCCCGAGAACATAGGAGCCAAATAATATAGCGCAGCATGCAAGCAGGAACTCACATTATACTCTATAAGTCAGCTGAAAATTGCTTTCTAAAATGATGTTACAAGCTCAAAAATCACTCGTCACAACCATTGCATCAGTCATTGGCTGATTTGAGCATGGCACACTCGGACATTACAGGGATTGCCAGAAGAAGCCATGACTAGTCCACGCGTGCACGTGCAACTGAAAAGCCACGCATTCGAAAAGAAAAAAAAGAAAAAGTGCTCAAGCTCACGAGGCAGTTCCATGCCTCCCTGCCTTGCTGCCAACGGTTTCATTGGGACAAAAGATGAGAGAATGCAATCGCAGCATGCAACAAATCTTCCCAACATTATTCCTAATGGACGGATTCTAAAAATTTTTGCGGTGGCGAATTGGCGAGGCAATAAGCTCCTTCAGTGAATCCATTTAATTTAAAAAGTCACAAAAGGGAGGAAAAGGTGGACCACAATGTAGCTGAAGACAAGTTCTCACCACCATGATGATGCAGTTGAGCAGCAGGGGCGTAGAGAACACAAGCGAGATGAACATGCCCTGGCTGTCGAAGTACTGTTGGCTGGAGAAGGCTTGCCAATGCCGTGCAGCTAGATCATTGAGCGCCTCGGAGAAGTACACCAGAAGCACTGCAGAAAAAGCTTAGCGACATTAGCTCATGACACGGCACTTTCTTCAGCACTGCTAGAGCGTAGGTTAGTTGTACCGAATCACTTGTTGTCAAAGAGGCAACTGGTTTGTAATGAGGCTCTCTCAGAAAACAAAAAGCCCAATAACTGAAACATTTGTTGCTTAAGAGATAACGTCACATCCCAACTCACCGCTACCACATAAACTTGTGATCTCATCTGCATGAAGGTTCAACATGTATGAAGTTGGTACTTCAAGCCATGCAATACCAAAAGTGAACCAACTAGTGCACTTGCTTAAGTCTAGTGCCCTTGCGAAGAACATTATGAGCAGTGACCTGTGCTGGTATGATACCTAATTTGTTTGATGTCGTAAAAGTTACATTATACATTAATCACATTTAAATTATTGCTTTCTATGCATCATTGCAATGCAGTGCCTAAAGTGGCACCAGTCAAGGAACGTATTTGTACATGTCAAACCATTTCTGTGGGAGTTAAAAAAGCATAGAATAGTTGATGTAAAGAAAAACTGTCGTCCACAAGTTAGCATCAATGAGAATTCTTAATGGGATTCGTTGAAAGAAAGGTTCCACGATAAAGACAACACCATATGGACTTCCTTTAATCCTTCATGCAACAAATGTCTATCTTTTCATATTTGTACATACAACATAAAAATGCACTGCTTTGAAATATATATAGAAACAATTTCTAAGAGCAAGAATATAGAAGCACAAATGAACTCGGCAAAAAGACAAAAAAAAAAACAGTTGCTGGCCAAGACTAATATAAAGAAAGCATGGGCAGGTCTCGTAATGCACACAGCTAAGGCTCAATGACAGTGACAGAAAAGGCGATTCCACAGAATTACAAAACCTCTGGCACCCAAACAAAAAACAATGCCGAAGGAATGTTATTCTTATCCATTGTAGATATTCAGGATAATATGACAAGATACCTTTGCACCATCCTAAAAAATATGTTCCAGGAGGCTTAGAAAAATTGAAAAACAATGGGAATGGTGAACTACAAGAAGAGGGCGTACCAGCTTGATGAGGACAGTACTTGGAAAGAGCTGTGCAATAACCACTAGAGCAAACATTTGGCTTGATTTTGAACACACCTCACAGATCTACCTTTTTCATGTGTGCGAATCTTTCATCGAGGTGTGCTCAATTCAGAACACTCCCTTTGTTGCTTTTAAACTTAATCGGGTCACTGCACACCAAGTGCTTGTCTCTTGCTGCGGCTGAGCCAAGCAGGAGGGGAGGGTCTTAAATGTAGCCAAAAATCCTAAAAAATGGCGATTTCAAAAATCACAATTTCAAAGCATTTCCAGTCTTTTTTATACTCTGGAAAAATGTAACATTACGACAAAACAGCCTTTCTTTCCCTTACAGGCTCAGCTCAAATGTTTTTGAAACTTAAAAACAGCACGATAATAGCGAAGGGGAAGCAAGGAGCGAGCAAAACACAACAACAGCATGTTGCTCATTCCTTGCTTCATCATCGCTTTTCACCAGGCTGTTTTCCGATTGAAAATGTTCAGCCAACCAGCCAAGACATTCACCTTATTAAATTTTATCAGCTTTCCTTTCTTGTGAAGCGAATCTGCCCTAGTAAAGCTGTGAGGAAGTTTCTGTGGACATACTTAAATGAACTTGGTATCATTATTTTTAATAACACTGGAAGAACAGGCAAAAGCTTTTCTTTTTTTGTCAACCTTGATGAAACTTATTACTTGATAAGTACCAGCTCATTACTCAGAGCAGTAATACTTCTTACCCTTGATTAATTGATTGATATGTGGGGTTTAACGTGCCAAAACCACCATATGATTATGAGAGACGCCGTAGTGGAGGGCTTCGAAAATTTCGACCACCTGGGGTTCTTTAACATGCACCCAAATCTCAGCACAAGGGCCCACAGCATTTGCGCCTTCATCGGAAGTGCAGCCGTCGCAGCCGAGATTCGATCCCGACTTCTTACATTTGAAAATTATTGCTTATAAAAAAAATCGCCACTTTATGATGTAATTTGGTTTAGGCTTTGGGGTAGACCTTTTAAATGAGCCCTGTAGTTCTGAAAAGTGACTTTACAGAGCAGGTTACGTGGAAAAAATAAATATAAAATTTTCATCATGACATACCAAATTTGGAGCAGTAAAAAAAAAAAAAAGACTTACATTTAGAAAAATAAGTTATGCACATACCATTCAACATCACCAAAATTATGTACTGTGCACATGAGCACTACTGGTTCAATTAAAGCAGTATTTTGAACCACCCCACTGTGCAAACAATAATAAAGTCCATATTAGCGTTTCCTGTGCCTGTCAAATTATTTGACCGACTCTGCAAATCTATGGATCTGCCAAGCTCGCGACCTTGAGATTCGTGAGATTTCCGAAACCGAGGAGTAGGGGTGGGGAAAAAAAACTGGCGCACAATTTAGTTTTCTTCTTTTTATGCAAGCAGCAGAAATGCATACACTGCTTCAAACGATTGCCAGTAGCGTATTCAGACGTCAGTGGTTATACTGCTATTCCGAGTTAAGCAGGGAACAAACACATGAGTAACTGGACAGAACGTGCAGTGTCCCGCGTCTGTAGCGCTAACAACCCCTTGCAACTATGAATACGCTTTTTCACAGGGCACCAGTGTACTGCGGCGAAGCTGGCTTAACTTTTCATTACCACGGGAAAATGGCTATTTCAGAATATTTGGGAAAATGGTCTTGGGAATATTGTCTTTGCCAGTTTGAAAAGTACTCCAGGACGAATTGCAGCATACAAGTTTTGTAAAATTTAATGCTCTTTCAAAAAAAATATATCTTGTAGAACATAGAAAAAATTTTATAATGAATAAAAATGTGAAAAGTGTGTAATTTTTGGCTGCCAGCTCGTAAACAGCAAAAAAAAAAACACAGCATAACTGCCAAAATGTTCAAAACAAAGGAAATTCAGAATGCACATTTTGAAAAATAAATGATCCAGGAACAATCAAACAATAACAAATGTAGAAAATGTTTCTAGTTACATAGACAAAGAAAATCGGAACCGAGGTGCTGCTTCGTTGCTCGTGCCTTGATGTGAAGCATTGCTTGTTTTTTTTTTTTTTTCAGACACAAGTGAACACATACACATTTCTCAGTAAATTATTGTTGTCTTTCTTTGGGACAACAGCCTCCAGGTGTTGAAATATAGATGGATACCGTGATCTGAATAAGACCTCTATTTACCAGATGTTGAAGTTGAATGAACTTTGCTATTTCATCTAGCATAACCTCTTTCCATGAGCCACCTCACTCAGCATAGGCTGGGATTCCTATATATACATCAAGCACATTTCTTAGCATTTTTCACATCATAATAAAAAAAAAGAACGACATAGCATGAAGTTCTAAAACGGTTCACGCGGCTCCATAGCCAGGGCCAAGACGTACTCCGGTGGCCTCCTTGTCATTAGGAGAAGTTCTGCATCCGGCACCAGCGCGCCGCACCTCAGTGAAGTGTGGACCTTGCATGTAACCAGAGTAGCTTTAGGATTGTGCACTAAGATGAGAAGCTACACACTTGCGCCAGAGAGGACAATTCGAGGCCTTAAACAAAACAAGTCCATGAACGGCTGTGGGTGTCTCAGGCTGACGCAAAACATCGTCAGCACAAAGCTTGAAGCTTGAGTTCTGTTATCCATGGACTCCAAGCTCGTCCTCACTCAACTCAGGTGCCGTTGCAAGACAGTTTCGAGCAGTGCGTATGTTTTGCAGTGCTGGTGTGCACCCATGCGTCCATGATGATGAGGAGCGACTAGTGACACTAGATGTAACCCTGTGTTTCATATAATGATTCAAGTGAAACCTAAGATTGCTGGAAACTGACTGAGAAGGCTACCTCAATATTTTAAACATGCGACGGACCTTCAGAAATATTTTTGTAGAAGAAATTTTACCTGACTCCCAGCAACAGCTCTTTATTGAAAAGCTGGCATAAATTTCTGTCAATTATTACTGCTCAACACTGTCAAATTGCGAAGCTGACTCTTTATTTGATGTTTGGCTAGCAAAGGTTTCTTTGATTACAGAGCTTCGATGTTACTATAGCATAATCTTGTGGGGCACGCACTCTTGTCAAGTTCGCCAGCATAGTTCATTTTCCCAACAACACACGCACATTGGTTCACGCAAACGTCTTTCAAATATCACTATATAACTACAACGGGCAAATTCAAATTTATTCTGAAAGCTGAGTGGCTGGACTAACTACTAGAAAGTGCTGGGCCCACGCGAAACAAATTTAACATGCCAAAATCAAGAAATGAAAGCATCAATCACAGGTGATCGATTTGAATAGACGCGGTAACGAAAGAGTTAAGCAGCATTTTCTGCACGGGTTAGAAATTTTCTAACCACTACCCCCCCCCCCCTCATTTCTTCCCACTCTTATTATTATTATTTTTTTCACCGTATGTTAGGTGCCGCTTCAGCTCACTTGCAAGGCGCGTTGATCAGGTAAAGTAACAACGGTGCACCCCCGTAGGCCTGGCGACGGTACCGAATATCTATCGCCAGGACCATGGCTGAGACGGCGTAGCTTCAAGATTTAAAAAAAAAAGTTTTTTTGTACCATTACTAAGACAATCAACATGGTCGCTGGCAACGCCAGCGTTCACAGCACATCGAGCTTGTTCAAACGAGGAAAAGGCGGCATACGGTTCCACCTTTAGTTCCTAACAAGCCACAACCGCGTTTTCAGGCTAGGAAGTTTACATTTCCTGCGAAGTGTTGGTGGTTGCAGCAACGCATTTTTGTCGAAGTTTCGTTGTCCCGCCGATAGGTATCCATTGCTGTCAGCAGACCAATGGGCGGGCAGCGTTGTTACTTTATCTGGTCGATCGCGTCTCGCAAGCGTAGGGTGGGGGGCACTATAGTTAGGGTCTGCGCGCTTTGACTAATGTCGCAAACTACATGATTGATTGATTGATATGTGGGGTTCAACG